TTGTTTCTCAGTATTTCTTAAGATGAGTTCATCTACCCTAGAACAAAGGCAACATGGGGTGTGATGCTTGGCAAGTTCTGGGAGCTGGAAGATCCTGGAAAGAGACCTGGCCCGTGAGAGGAATTTGCATCCATCAACAGTTCTAGAACTGGAAAGTCAATGTTATATTTAGAGATGATGCACGTCTTGGCAATGTTGAACAAGATAAGCTAAATTTTAACTTCTAGAATCAGATTGCCGAAAAACAAGTCAAAATTGTAAAGGAAATAGTTTTACCATGTCTTCTTCCTCTAGATCTAAAAGGAACATTCATTTAAGTCATTCCTGGTGATTCTGAGAGACCATTAAGAACATTGCTTTGTAGCCTATAAATAAAAACCTTTAATACTGAGGCTAGGGCATTGGAAGACAGGGAAATGCCCAGAAAAGCTCATGCAGTCTCTGAACGTCCAGTAGGGCATCATGTAGCGATGGCAAGTTTCCGTAGACAGTCTCCAGTTTTTTTTTTGAGACAGAGCCTCAAGCTATCACCCTGTGTAGAGTGCCATGGCTTCACTGCTCACAGCAACCTCCAACTCCTGGGCTTGAGCGAGTCTCCTGCCTCAGCCTCCCAAGTAGCTGGGACCACAGGCGCCTGCCACAAGCCCGGCTATTTTTTTTTTTGGTTGCAGCCATTATTGTTGTTTGGCAGGCCTGGGCTGGATTTGAATCCGCCACCTTAGGTGTATGTGGCTGGCGCCTTAGCTGTTGAGCCACGACAGTCTCCAGTTTTACTCTTTCTAATTGTGAGCGGGTGATTCCCCCACTCAATAATTAGATTTTGTTTGTTTCATAAACCCATAATATTTTTAGAGTTTGGCAGCAAGGTCTTTGGAGTAAAGGTGAGAGTTCAGATGCCAACTCTACTATTCTTAAACTGTGGAGATTTGGGCTATTTATTTAATTTTTCACCTTATTTGTAAAATGTGGGGAATGATACTTACCTCAAAGGTCGTTGAGAACATTAAAGTGCTTCTGAGAAAGCCTGCCCCCTAGTACCGTGTTTCCCCCCAAATAAGAAAATAAATAAATATACTGTCTTATATTTATTTTTTCTCAAGAAGGCACACTAGGGCTTATTTTCAGGGGATGTCTTATTCTCCATGCTGAAATGCATGGTGTGGCTATGCAGATATGCTATATAGCCACACCCATCACTAGGTCTTATTATTGGGGTAGGGCTTATATTTAATAAATGCATAGAAATCCTGCTAGGGCTTACTTTTTGGGTAGGTCTTATTTTGGGGGAAACACGGTAGGTGTTTATTAAACGTTAAATGAAATAGGAAGTAATTTAAATCTAAAATCGCAGTGCTAAAGTACAGACATAAATACACAAAATAATTTGATTCTGGAGAGCTGAGTCTTGGAATTTTGAAAAGGTGCTTCATTTGTTTCTTTTTTTTAGCTCATTGCTTGATGTGTTTTCTGGAAGAATAACCTTCCTCAAAGCACTGAATTTGGGGAATATCAGGACCTCAAGAAATTAATGCCCTCTCAAAAGGGTGGTTGAGCTGAGTAAAGAGGGCCTGACTTCAATTTTTCATTATTTACTCTTATGATCATATTAATGTAAGTAGCTACTATTTATTTCTGATTACTGTGTGCCAAGTACTATACTTGAACACTTGGTAAGCACACATTACTGTGTGCCAAGTACTGTACTGAACACTTTATAATCATTATCTCACTTAATCCCTATAATAACTTGAGATGTAGGTGTTATGGCCCTCATTATACATGTGGGAAAATGAGGCATACTGTTTTAAGCAATATGTCTAAGGTGGTAAAATGTAAAGCCAGAATAGTACTGTCTCAAATTAGCTTCTCTGCTTTGGTACCTGTACTAATCTGGTAGTAGTTTAGCTCTTTAAAATGTTAATACAGATTTGAGTATTCCTTATCCAAAATGCTTGGGACCAGAGTGTTTTGAATTTCTGGGTTTTTTTGGTGAGATTAGCCTGAGCAAGAGTAAGACCCCATCTCCAAAAAACAGCTGGGTGTTGTGGCGGCCACTGAGTCCCAGCTAGTCAGGAGGATTGCTGAAGCCCAAGAGTTTGAGGTTGTGGTGAGCTGTGATGCCATGGCACTCCATTGAGGGTGACGAAATAAGACTGTCTGTATTTTCTTTCTTTTTTTTTTTTTTTAATTTTAAAATATCAACATTATACTTACTGGTTGAGCATCCCGTACCCCCAAATTCAAACTCCAAAATGTCCCAGTGAGCATTTCCTTTGAGTGTCGTGTTGGTTTGGCACTCAAAAAGTGTCAGCTTTAAGATTTTTGGATTTGGAATGCTCATCTTGTACAGCATAGAGCTTGCTGAGGGAGTGGCTGATACTAAGAATCTTTAAAACATTTTATGCTAATTAAGACTGAGGGGGACATCCAAGGAATTGATTATATATATCCAGTGCCAGTTTTTCTGAAATAAGTTTTCTGGTATTTTGATTTTGACTTTGATCTGTCCAGGACAAGGGCAGAATATTCGAGAATGGCGATCTGAATTAGTGTTCCTTAGCTTTGGCTACACTTGGGGGGGAGGGGGGGATGCTTCATATCCCGAAACCCAGTCCCCACACCTAGATGTTCTGATGTTAAACTAGTGCCGTAAGTCTTCTGGAAACCAACCAGCCAGACCCAGCCTCGGACTGGGGCTGAGGTCTGGGAGGGACGAAGAGCAGGCCCCCTGGATGGGTAGGCTCATACTCCTGGGGCTCACTTTGCTTGGTAGTCTGGCTCTGCAGACCAGGGCAGCCTCCACACCTCACTCCCCGCATTATTCCCTGAAACCTTCACTTCAAATTGGAGGAGAAGGAGGTAAAGCAGTGCCTGGCATTTTCACGGTGCCAGTCAGTAGGATCTTCTAGGGAGGTCTGCTTGAAAGGTTGTGGTCTAGCCAGCGCCAGTTCTTGGGATTTAACTTTCCCTTTGCTTCTTTATGCTTTTGGGATGTACTGACTCTGCATGGTTTGCTTTCCTTTGCTGGTAACATCCCAGAGGCATGCACCGTATTTGTAAAACTCAAACATAGGTAAGTCAAGGATATATATGAGCATGCATGCGGGCACATGCGCATTTATGTATACACATATATATGTTGTTGAGACAGTAGTCTCTATTGTCCAAGCTGGAGTACAGTGGCATCATCACAGCTAAGTGTGACCTCAGTTGACCAGGCTCAAATGATCCTCATGTCTCAGCCTCCCATGGAGCTGGAACTACAGGTGTGCTCAGCCATGCCTGACTAATCTAAAAAATTTTTTTTGTAGCCGTGAAAGCCTTGCTACATTGCCCAGTTTGGTCTTGAACTCTTGGGCTCAAGTGATCTTCCCTCCTTGGTCTTGTCTTCTCTACTTTATTATTATTATTCTCTTCTCAATCTAACTACTCTGTTGTTCCTGCCATTCCACAACCTTCTTTAAGGGCAGATGTCCATACACCCAGACGTTGACAATAGGTAGCAGAGGATTTTTAAGACAGATAATAGTTTGCTATTTGCCAGAGCGCCTTATCAGAATCTGGACTCCGTGGAAGTAAGGTGTTAGCAGGTTACCGGTTGTGGTGTAAATTTTCACTGGCAAATATTTGTCCACAGTAATTTTAATTATTTTTTATTTCATTTACACATGAGGGGGCAGTGTGGTACTATAAAGCAAGCACTCTCTTGAAATTGCTTATTTTTATTGGTATATGATAGTTTCTAGGTGAGAACTTCTAGACTGTACAGTTAACCCCCCAGCATTATTGTTAGTTGTTAAGTGCAACACACACACGTAAGTGACACTCCCTGTCCTATCACAGGTCATGTGCATGTGTTTATTTAGATGGACGAGTAGTAATTTCCTCACAACAGCGGGATGTTCATTCAGTTCCCTTTATTGTGAGTTTTACATTTATGTTGCGTTTAAAGGGAGCTGGCTTTGTTCCTGTTTCCCGTTCCACCCAAGGAACATCAGCATCTGACATTGTCTGTTAGGTTGATGTCTCTAATGTATTTTATTTTATGACTTTATTGAAGGCCAGAGAGCCTCCAGTGTTGTCGGAAGGAAGCCCCCGCACTCAGGTCTTGGCAGCTAGGAAAGGTCTATTGTAAATCACCTCCGTGCGCTTCCCTTTGTGGCACAGATGGCTTGTCTCAAAAGAAAAAAAAAAATGGTGCTAAGCAAAGAAACAGCCTATTTTAATGAACATTATTATTGCTGATAAGTGAACAACATGATGGATAAATCATGCTAATGTTCCAGGTTTCATCAGTGGACGGGCAAATTATTAAGAGATTGGATAGTATTAAATGAATTGATAGAATCTATAAAACATTTTATGAAAAATGTAAATAGGAATCCAGGAAAGGTGATTTCATAAGCACAAACCATTTTTAAATGTGCAAAAAATATTTGCAGTCATATGTATGTTTCTGTTTATGTAGTTGGAAAAAAAATTGCAACCAGCATTTTGGCATAAATATAACCTTCTGTGAGATTTAATGGGGTACTTCCTTTTAATGTTTTATCCGAGCTGCTTCCTTTGGGGGTGAAGAGTTATAATAGTACCGTCTGTACCTGGTAAAGGTAATTGCACTTGGTTAGCTTTAGGCTGAATTATTTGAGTTTATAGTGATACGATGTGGCTTTTACTTAATGAGGAATTTTTTTATTTTTATATTTTCTGTTTAAATAAATAAAAGGCTTAAGACCTATATACCAAAATTTTGAAGAAACAGATTTTTAGTTTTAGGCTGTCCTGATGGAACTCTGAATCACTTGTTTGAAGACGCCGGTTTGTGGGTGGCACCTGTGGCTCAAGGATTAGGGTGCTGGCCCCCATATACTGGGGGTGGTGGGTTCAAGCCCAGCCCCAGCCAAAACCACAAAAAAAAAAAAAAGAAGTGGGTTTGCTGTGGCAGTACGTAGGTTTCTGTTCATGGTAAACAATTCATATCCTTTATGCTTTGATGGCAGATATTTCGGACCCTGCCTGATGCCACATTCCCTGAGCCTACCTGCCTGTCAGCATCACCCCCAAACGCTCCACCGAGGCAATCGAAGAGACAGGGCCAGAGGACAAAGAGACCCGTGGCTGTCTATAATCTTTGTCTTGAGCTGGAAGATGGTAAGATGTTAACTATGTTTTTCTGCTTGACAGCATGTTGAGAATATGGCATATCAGATGTCCCCAGGGCAGGCCACGGTTTTCTACTATCTGTGTTTTCATTTGATTTTTCCCTTAAGTTGATAATTTTTGAGATTAACAGGGAGCGTGAAGCGTTCTTGTCGGGGAGAAGATGCAAGTTTCACTTCTGTGTTTGTCTTTGTTATGCGTGGTTCTATTTTTATTTTTAAAAGACAGCTTAAATTTCTTTTTTGGGAGACTTGTGTGACCTGTGAGGTTACATAACCTGGAGACAAATGGGAGGGGAACTAAAATTAAAGCAGATCTTTTATGAGAAGAGCTGATGGAGTCTGATGTTAACTGCATCTAGATTACAGGCACTGTTCACCATTACATTGGAGTTCATGGTTTCTGCGCCTTACTTGCTCTGTTTTTCTGACTTTTTCTTAAGGCAGAGAACTAAAAATCTGGGGGTGCAGGTGGTGGTGGCAGATTGACCTGCCTGCTGGGGTCAGGCTGAGTGAACTGGGCAGCAGTGGGACTCTTGCAAATGGAAATTCACACGTCCCATCCAGGCTACTGTGTTCCAGCTATCTGTAACCATGCGGCCACTGTTTGCAGGGTTGCCAGATATTCCAGTTTTTAAAGAGCCTAGAAATCTGAGTGTTCAGCATTGACCCATACAAAACAAGACTCTGAGCCACGGACAGGCCACCAGTTGCTCTTTGTAATCAGGTGGTCAGTGGCGTGGGGTATAAGGTGATCCTGGTCTCCAAACGTGCCTTCATGTCTGACATTGTGACTCCTGCTGAGAGAATATTCCCTGAATTTGAAGTTAGTTGTCACTTTTTGTTCTCTTCTAGTCCGCTTTTTTTTTTTTTTTTTTAATTAGTATCTTTCATTTGTTATCTGTTTGAGATACTCAGGTTACATGGGTTTGGAAATGTGAGATTGGTGGCACCCGTAGCTCAGTGGCTAGGGTGCTGGCCACATACACCAACGCTGGCAAGTTCGAACCTGGCCTGGGCCAGCTAAAACAACAATGACAATAATAACAACAACAACAACAACAAAATAACCAGGTGTTGTGGTGAGTGCCTGTAGTCCCAGCTACTTGGGAGGCTGAGGCAAGAGACTCACTTAAGCCCAAGAGTTTGAAGTTGCTGTGAGCTGTGATGCGATGGCACTCTACCCAGGGCAACAGCTTGAGACTCTGTCTCAAAAGAAGAAAAAAAAATAAAAAGGAAATGTGAGATTGACTGTCAGAGGAGAAAGGAGATGAGGATGAGACTATCTGTAGTTTAAGATGAAGATCTTAAGCTGCTGTGACCACGAACAGCCAGGTGGTTAATACCCGAAGATCCATGTGAAGCAAGAACGGCCATCTCCAACTCACCCAACTCAGAGGAAGACTCGTGGTGCCTTCTGTAGTAACACAGAAGGGCTCCAATGTTCTGGAATGTTCTGGGGTTCGTCTCAGTTGCTCAAGACATACGTGCGTATGATACAAGTGTTAGTTTTCAATCAGGTCCTTACTTTTAGAGGAAGGGCGTGAATCATTAAAATTAACCCATAATTTCAGAACTTCCTTTCAGACGTTAGCTTCAACTTCTGTTCCCAGCTAACTTTTTAATTCTTTCTCTCACATTCAGTCTTTCTCAGCGGAGTTGCTAACAAGGAGTAAAATTGACTGGTTTGAATTGCACCTTCTCTTACATCTCACTTGTCCTCTGGTGAAGTGTGAATAAAATAGTGAAATAAGCAAATATTGGAAAGCAGGATGGGAAAAAGAAATGAAGACGACATAGGAAACCTGAATTGGTTCATTGGCCCTTGAGCAAAATGAAACCGACTGTATTTCATAAAGGAGACGATCAGAGAGGGGCGTTTTGTCTTAGAGTCATGTTTACTCTCTTGGCATTCTTAAGAATGGAATCCTAATAATCAAGTTTATGCAGCATATTAATCTTTAGTTTTGGGGTCACTTAATGATTATTAATGAGCAGGAATCTTCTGTAGAGGTAGTCAGCACATCTCTCATGGGAACACTCAAGATGGTATACAATCATAGCTTTCCTGGTTTTTAGGTGATATAATAATTCTTAAAAATTATTTGATATTAAGGGGAAAAATAATTGTCAAATACTCAGCCCCTTTAGTTGGTTTTTGATTGTTGTTAGATGGTGGTTTATTCTATATTTTTTATTTTATGGAGTATTTTTAAACTTTACATTTAATCTTGATGGCAGCCTTAACATTTCTTTTTGGAACGTTGTCAGGAGGCGGAAAATGCAATTTATTTTATAATAGTTTAGATTTTATCATAGTTTATCATGCTTTTTTAAGACACAGGGCCTTGTTCTTGTTGCCCAGGCTGGAGTCCAGTCTGTGATCACAGGTCACTGTGGTCTCAAACTCCTGAGCTCAAGTGATCCTCCCACCTCAGCCTCCTAAGTAACCGAGACTGTAGGCATGTGCCATCACATCCAGCCTTATTTTATCTCAGGTTGTAAAATACTGCACAAAGCAATTAAAACTATGATTCTTCCACCCCCTTCCCGATTATTTTTATTAATAGCTAAGCTTCAGTGAAATTCCAGTTGCAGGAAAAGTCTTTTTAGAGAGAACAAATAGGCTTTTATATCTTGTAAATTCTAAAATATTGGGGAATCATTGAAGAAAAGTGGCAAATTCATTTTCTGGACAAAAGCATCCAGGGAAGGAATACCAAAAATTATTGAAAATTAAAAATTAGCTATTTGCGGGGGATGCATACCTGTTGTCCCAGCTGCTCAGGAGGCTGAGGCAGGAGAATCACCTGAGCCCAAGAGTTTGAGATGCAGTGAGCTGTGATCAAGCCACTGTACTTTAGCTCAGGCAACAGAGTGAGACTGTCTCCAAAAAAAATAAATAAAATAATTATTTATAAGGGCCGTGCCTGTGGCTCAAGGAGTAGGGCGCTGGCTCCATATTCTAGGGGTGGCAGGTTCAAGTTTGGCCCCGGCCAAAACTGCACAATAACAATAATAATGTTATAGAATGTCATCTAGCATATTGAAAGCTTTACCCTTTCTGTAAAAAGATATATTCTTATCACTAGGACTTTTTTGTTTTAAGTTACCTGTATCTTCTAATTGTTAATACTACTTGAAAGTTTCAAAAAGTTTAGTTTTGGGGTGGGGGTTCTTACTGAAAGTAGTGAAGTCACTTCCCATGTTTAGTTTTGGTGAAAATATGCATTTATAGACATTCAATTGATTATTTTTCCAAATTTTCTCATTTATATGGAATGGGTAGCATATTTATATGCAAACATGCCCCCCTTTCTCATTGTAGTTAGTAAATGTATAAGTTTAATTTGACTTCATAAAATCCAGGACAAATTTTTCACTTAGAAGTTAAGTGGACTATCTGCCAAGATGGAAGGAACTGGATAGGATGACTAGAGATTTTCTTGAGCCCTCTGATTTGGTCACGAATTTGGTATTTGAGTGAAGTGGTTTGTGGTATGTTATTTCTTGTTCTGCATGGAGTAGACTCTGGAACTATGCAGTGTACCCAACAGCCGATCTGGGAACTCATTCGGAATTGGTTTCAATTCAACATCAGGCAGATCAAAAAGTCATTAGCAAAGAGTGAGCAAGCCTGCTAGCGTGAGCCGCAGCACCACGGGCCTGGAAGCAAAAAATCCCAGCCTGTGAAACAGGAGAGAACTCCTCTGCAGTTAGATGTGCTTTTCATTATGTTTTATTCAGCCCTACCCCCGATGGAGAGATGCCTAGTTAACTAAAGAAACTTAGTATCTCTACATCCATAAAGAGTTTAAATGGTGCTGGCAGGTTTCCCTATGTTGTGTATACTCATTATACTCATTATCTTTGTAATATATGTTAAATGATACTGAACTTATTTGCAAAAGAATTTAAATGCTGGCTACTTGCTTAAGGATGTTTATTGATGACTAATATGGATTAAAATGGATATAGTATCTGCCAAGTTTTCTTAATTAAAGCAACTAGCAAACCTTTATGAGATTCTCACCTTTTATTATTTTGTAGTAGCCTTATTACTCATTTTTAATTTATTTTTTTATTTTTATTAAATTATAGCTGTGTACATTAATGTAATCAAGGGGTACAATGTGCTGGTTTTAATATACAATTTGAAATATTTTCATCAAACTGGTTAACACAGCCTTCACGGCATTTTCTTAGTTATTGTGTTTAGACACTTATATTCTACACCTACGGAATTTCACATGTACCCTTGTAAGATGCACCATAGGTGTGGACCCACCAGTTACCCTCCCTCCACCCATTCTTCCCCCTCCCCTCCCTTTCCCCATGTTCTTGGGCTATAATTGGGTTATAGCTTTCATAAGAAAGCTATAAGTTGGTTTCATAGTAGGGCTGAGTACATTGGATACTTGTTCTTCCATTCTTGAGATATTTTGCTAAGGAGAATATGTTCCAGCTCCATCCATGTAAACAGGTAAAGTTTACAGGTAAAAAAACATCCATGTAAGAGGTAAAGTCTCCATCTTTCTGTAAGGCCATACTGTTCATTTTTATATAGCATTTAATGTCATGAACTTCAAAGCTGAATAGATTTGGCTTAGTCAGTTGTGGAAAAGCAAAATAGGAGGTAGGCTGATAAATGTTAAAAAGAAGATTAGCAATCAAAGGTCTGCTTTCATTTCATTCTCAAGTGTTTTTATTTCCATAGAACTAATAGCAAAGTCACTCTAAGAAAGTTAAGTGTGTGGTTTCTCTTGCCCACCCTAACTTAGGTCCTTATACCTCTTATGTGAGGAGGGGGTGTCATGGTGGTTGTAATTCCCCCGACACAGGGAAATGTCATGAGGCTACACAAGATGAAAGTGATCTTTGTTGTTTTTCATTCAAGGAAGAAGAAATTTTAAGCCAAGGTTTGGAGAGGGGGGGGGATATGAGGATTACCATCTGAAGCTCTTTCTTCCTTTCTGCTAGCTCTAATTTTAA